AAGACCTGGATATTTTTCGAAAATATCATTCTGGACTGTTTCCTTTGTTGTCGGTGCTTCGAGAAGTTGCGAATTCTCGAAAATTCCATTAAAAACATCCGAATCGTCGACTTCATAAAGCCAAACCCTCGGATTCGCGTTTGGTGGGTTGGCGATCAAACTTTTCTGCATTGCGCAAATTCGCAGATTTCCGTCAATCACCACAAATTTTTTGGGTGATTCACGGTTTAAGAGCATCATACTGCAAAATTCGAATTCATCATTGTAATTTTGAAAAAAAAAAAAAAAATTAAAATTAAAAAAACTCACAGTGGACTTGACTGCATAATAGACAGTTTTTCAGAGGTGTCACTATCATTGTAAAAAGCCGTAAAAGCATCGAGGCGCTCTTTCGTGATGGTTCTTGTTATTTGTCCGCGACATTCCGATTTTTCGGCCAGTAGTTGAATTTTTTTTTTTTTTTTTAGGGGGGGGGGGGGGGGGGGTTTTTTTTTTTTTTTTTTTTTTTTTTTTTTCCCCTCTTTTTTTTTTTCCTTTTTTTTTTTTTTTTTTTTTTTTTTTTTTTTTTTTTTTTTTTTTTGGGGGGGTTGTTTTTTTTTTTTTTTTTTTCTGTTGTTCCATTGTTCTTTTCGTTGTTTTTCGGCGACGTTGTTCCTCCTCCACCACCTGAAAATGTTCATTTTGACTGATGTCGTTAGTTTCTTTCGGCTTGTTTGTTGTTGGTTTTTTCGTCTTCGACGACTCCTTCGATTTCTTCGATTTCTTCGACATTTTCGTTCTATGTCCATCATCATTATCGATCTGAAAAAAAAAGAAATAAATCAAATTGTTTGTTTTTTTTTTTTCAATTAGAATATTCAATTGGGGGGTTACCTAAGCCTTTTTAATCAACTAAAAAATCAACTTTTAATATTTGAAAAACATACATTTTCCTGGGTTTCGTTGCGGCGGGTTGATCCTTGTTGTTGCTGTTGCTCCGGAATGTTGATTCCGACGACAGCTCCAATAAGAGATTCGATTGTTGCTTCCACGGCGACGACATCTACGAGAGCATCAGCGGCAATATTCGCAATGGTAGACATGGCAGCAGAGTTGAGCACGAGAGAGCGAGAGAGAGAGAGAGCGTTTTGTAAGCGATTTTTAGCAGAGCTAATTTCGAGAACACAATTGAGTCCGGCGACCGGTATTTATATACCGATATCGCTCACGTAAGGTGATAAAACCACGCCCCTTTATCATCATAAAAATGTGCGAAAATCTGTCGTTCCTCATTTTTGAGTGACACAATATCAGTGATTTGATTGACAGCAGATATTCGCACCAATAAATAATGTGGAGGACGTCGAATTTGAGTTATCAATGTGCGAAATTTATCCAAAAATGTGCCAAAATGTGCCGTCCGTCGTAACTCATCATTGTCATATTGACTGATTATCAGTGATTTGATTACGGATGATATTGGCACCTTTCGCTGCTGTGTGTGGTACGATGACGACAAAAATTTGATGTTCAAGTTCAACTAAATATG